CCACCACCACCACCACCACTACAACCACCCCTAGATTAATTGCATGCTTTTAGCTTGCAGTGCTTTTTTTGTATGCTTTTATGTCAAATTTCATTGAATTTTCCATGCAAACACTATATTTTGCAAGTCACTGACCTGTTTCAGATAGGAACGAGTGTCTTCTGGAGGCAGACAACTGCGAGCCAACCTCAACAGTATGTGTCAACACTGCTGGCAGCTTCAGGTGTGACTGTCAGAATGGCTTCCTTCTCGGATCAAATCCCACTGTTTGCGAAGGTGAACATTACTATGGTTACAGATGCAAATTGCTTGTACTTACGCGATGTTTTCAGAAAAATGGATTAATGACCAGTGTACGAGTCATCGTCGTACATGTGTTATCATAACAATCATTACCATTGTCACTATACAATTACTTTTCCCTTACCAAGGATAATTATTATGAGTACCATCATAATAATGTGTGATGATGGACCTTGTCAAAGTGTATAACAGGAAGGAGATTGAATTAGCTTGCCTCCTTTCTTTAGCTTTAAGGAGTGAACTACATGGTTAATCTCCTGTCACATGCTATCTGGATGCTATACATCTAGGTCAGCTGTGTGTCAACGACACCACACCGGCATTTACATTGTATGCTCGTAGCTTGCTGCATGCCCATTGCTTTACACACAGTTTTCACGCCAGCGACTTAATACACAAATTGTTCGATGTTATCCACTGGCGAACGCTATGAATCTCGAATGTGGTGACTCATCTTTCCACGAAACGTTCCACAGATATGGACGAATGTGACGAAGGTATGGACAACTGTCACAGAAACCGCTCATTCTGCTTCAACGTACATGGCACCTTTGTCTGCCGTTGCATCGAACCGTACTGGACAGGCGATGGAACGCTTTGCAATGGTATGCTTGCTCATATTTAGGCTTCCATAATCATTGAGATAGATGCATTTATTTATTTGGAGGTTTGCATTTGTGAATTGTGCAAAAAAATGTGAGTGTGTGTGTGTGGGTGCAGTTTCTCAATGTGATATTACATAACCCTAGGTTTTAATTTTGCTAGTGAGATTTCCCTTGTTTTACCAGATGCAATATAATATGTCAACAGCCAATAGCTTGAGCTACTGTTTCTGGTCAATTTTAAAGTTGATAGTTGTAGGTAGTGAGAACATGGACAAAGTTCTTGATCTTTACTCATTTAAAATATATTTTACCTAACAAACCTTCAACTTGGCAACATCAATATAGTGATTAGTGAAACTTACATTGCACAGTATTTTTCACTATTTACAGGCTTGAAATATATTAGTTGGTATGCTGATTTGTAGATTTTTATATCATCTTTGATTCAACATGTCATATTTATCAAAAAGTCGCGATGCACACTCATATTTTCAAACACTAAAGTGTTCTTTACATTCGGTTTACAGATGTGAATGAATGTTTAAACGATGACACACTGTGCTCTAGCGGTCAGGTGTGTGTGAACCTGGAGGACAGAATACCAGGCTACGAATGCACAGGTTAGTCATGTATTGCACCTCCAGCACTAATTATCTAGGCATGGTATAGGATTGCATCTATAGGCACACAAGAAAGATTATCCTTGCAACTGTTTATACTTATTTCACATTTAATCCGATAATAAATTTCATTCTCATCAGAACTCGCTGCTATTATGAAGGATATAAAATAAAATAAATAAATGAATCCATAAGTTATGTTTATTCAATGCTGATTATATATGGCAACGCGCAGCACTTACTGTCATGACTGTATCGTCTTTAGATCGCGACGAATGTGCTAGCGATCCATGTCATCCATCTGCCGAGTGTAGGAACACAGAGGGGAGCTTCCAGTGTGAATGTAATAAGGCTGGCTACACTGGGAATGGGATAGATACCTGTAGTGGTAAGTAACAAATTTATAGGTATTTTCACTGAAGGTGAATGCTGCTGCTGTACCTTGCAATCATCTGCAATTGTTGCAATAGTGGCAATATAGAGTGTATAGAGTGGTGGATCACAGATGGTATTAGCGCGGTTTATGATTACATAGTGGTGGAGAGTACGGCAAAGTTTTGAATGCTTTTTCATAACGTTTAATGCTACTTTCAGACATTACCGAATGTGCGGAGAGGACAGACGCTTGTAACAGGGTGAACACTGACTGCGTAAACACCGACGGCAGCTACAGTTGCGCTTGCAAGGGTCCTGGCATGAACCGACTCAGTGCCAGGGATTGCAGTGGTAGGTAACACACGACAGTAAGCCTGCTCTGTTAAGGCCTCGCACTGATGAGATGCCTTGTTCTTTGTTATGTGTACCATCTGAAGGCACAGTGATGACCTCTTTCGGCCCGTTTGTGCTGTTGAGGTACATTGTACTTGTCAACCATTCTGAGTAAAAAATGTAATGTCTAGACATTCCAATGAGCTATGTCATGGTTTCTAACTGAAATTCTGCTTTATAACTGGGATATTTCTAGGTTGATTGACCCAATTTGGCCAATTAAATGCTACACGGCTACACAGCTACTGTGTCTCACTCGTACCCATTGATGCATTGCAGATATCGATGAGTGCTTAACCAGGGAAGATAACTGTCACCGTCAAGCAAAGTGCAGGAACACGATAGGGAGCTTCGAATGTGACTGTCTCCAAGCAGGATTCAGCGGAAACGGGATTGATGCATGTGATGGTAGGTTACATACTACAGTGAGTACACGCTTGTGTGCGTGCATGCGTGTGTGCGTATGCGTGTGTGCGTGTGCGTGTGCGTGTGCGCGTGCGCGTGTGCGTGTGTGGATATATATTGTAAATTTTTGGGTCATTCATCTCATTGTTCTTTGATATTTAACTAAGTCTGCATATTCTTTTTACAATGTTTGTTTTCAATAATAACTATTCCATACAATAACTTAAACTATTGCAGCAAGAGAGAAATGGTAGAATTATAGACCGGTGGTGATATGCCACCTCCGTTTATTAACAGATGTTGGCCTGATGTGATTTAGCACGTTAATTGTTCAGTCACGGTTCACTGCCTTTGTGCACTGTCGAATGGATCTGAAATGTGATCAAATGAA